ACCCCCTCAAGTCCCTCTTGGGGTCCTGAAGTGAGGTTAACTCTTTAAACAGGGGGCCATGGGTTGGAGCGTGGAGTCCTGGACAGAGTGTGGTCCTGCCCATCAGGGCCCATCATTGTCTGGCTTCACTATAGTCCTGTAAGGTGCTCTGACAGTTAGATCTGTGTGGAATCCTTTTCCAGGAGCCAAGGTCCCCGCTCTGGCCTTGGTCTTTTCCTTGTTCCATTGTGAGATTCCTGGGGAAATTGCCATTTCTTGGCGTCCATTGTTTCTGTAGTCTGAACATCGGATTGAGGGACACAGATGTCTCATTTTCAGAATGTCTTCATTTCTGCCATGCTACTTCTGTCTCTGCAGCCTGGGGGCTCCAGGACTGGCTCCCCACGGGCCCCAGGCTGTCTCTGGTGTTCTAGTTATCTGCAGGGGCTGCACCCACTTTCTTCCCGGGGCCACTGAGCCTTTCTCTGACTGCTCAGGATATGAAAGCCCCATGAGTCAGCCCCTCTGCCAGCGCCTTCAGCTTGGGTTTCCGCCTCTCCTCCGTAGCCAGGCTTCGTGGGCTCCTTCCTGCGTCTGTGTGTCATTTTGAGCTGATGGAGGAGGGGGAGCCACTGGCCCTGGTTCAGGCAGCCAGGACTGGGCTTGCTTTAAAGCCGCCGTCCCCTCCTCCCCGCAGTGGCCAGCTGAGATTTCTCATTGTCACGTGGTCCTAGCACTGGCTCTTCAGGAATGCTGAGAGACCACATCTGGCAGTGACGGGGCTGCCGCCTCCCCCTTCAGCTGCCGGTCTCCCACATGTGCCTCTTCCGCTTAGGTGGTGGCGGGGCCCGCTCTCAGAGGCTGGCTGGGTCACTTTGTGGAGTCATTTCCTCTCCCTGCATTGATTGTCCTGATGTCCCTGCCCCCCCTCCCGGCTTGGAAGGGTTGTGAGCAGTGGGAGGGGAAGAGGTTCCTCTTTCTCCTTCAGCTTCCTGTCTGGGATGTGCACGCCCCTCCCCCAGGAGGGGTACGGGAGCCTAGAGGACACAGAGAGAGCCTGGCTGTGTGGGAATTTGGCTGTGGATTCCCCAGGCTAGGAAACAAAGATAAGTTTCTGGGGCAGGGCTCAGGCTGGAGGAAGGGGCCTGAGTGAGGGTCAGTTCATTCATCCACCCCTCCCATTCATCCTTCCTCTCATTCATCCACCTTCCCATTCATCTTCCCATCCACCCACCAACCCACCCACCTATTCATCTTCTCATCCACGCATCTAATCCACGCATCCATCCCATTTCATTCAGTAAGGGTCAGCAAGATGGCTCAGCAGGTAAAGGCGGTTGCCACCAAGCCTGAGTTCAATCCCAGCACCCCTCATGGTGAAAGAGAATTGACTCCCATTCCATTCAATGACCATCCCCCTCCTTACTGAGAAGGAGTAGGGAGGCTGGCCTCCGGCTTTAGACCCAGCTCTCCCTTCGCGCCCCACCCCCAGGCCAGAGAGCTCATTTCCTTTTTTATGCCTCCTCGCTTCATTTAGCCGGGGCCCAGGGTGCTCAGGGAAGGTGAGGTGGTGCCCTCAGACCGTGGCATGGTGAAGAGGGAGAGGTGGCCTCCCTTCCCATCACTCTCCCTTGCCTCACGGGCCTGGGTCCCTTAGGGGAGAGCTGTGAGCCATGCACGTGATGCCCATCCAGGCTGCCTGGGAGGACCTATCCTGGGTCTGGCTGCCTAAGATCTGTGGAGTTTTTTTTTTCCGAAAAGGATCAGTGGAGAGAAGATGACACTTGGGACAGTGTGGGAGAAGGGAGAAGATTCCAGGAGGCAGAGGAGGAGGGAAGAACAGGCTAACACTTACCTAGAGGCCCAGCCCTCCTCTTCATCTTCAACGTGGGGATAGTCCTTGGGGGATTAACGCACCCTCCTCTCCAGTTCTCCCATCCCACGCCTGAGAGATGTTGGACGGACTGAGTGTCAGCATAGAAACATCCACCCTTCTGCCCCACAGGTGGCCTCTTGAAGGTGACCCCAGCCACTTTGTCCAGCTCGGAGCCGCACCCTGCTAGGAGTTTGGGGACAAAGGCTTTTGGGAAAGTGTGTCCACCAAGCCCCTGGCCCGAAGCTTTTAAGTGCGTGTCCCCTCCTGGTGGCAGGCAGTCCGGTGCCTTCCTGCTTCTTTGTCCCTTGTTTGCAGGTCCCCTCCCTGGCTAAGGCTCCCTCTGTGGGCAGCTCCAGACAGGGCTTGGATGGTGCTGGAAACAGGTGCAGAAACCTCAGCCAGCCACGCCGTTGACCAGATTTTGGTGAAGCTGGGTCCTAGGGAAGATGGACCACCTGTCTGTCCTTTAATAGTGCAGGCAGCTAGCGGCTGAAGGGCAGAGATTGTCTGCATTGTCAGCATATTAGCCAGCTGAGCCAGATTTTCCTCTGCCACCCCTGGGAGGGACATCTCTTTGGGGTAGTGGGCCCAGTCTGTGCGGCCAGCTGCTGTCCACATTCAGGGTCTGTCACTCATCTCCTGGGGGGCAGAAAGGCAGCTGCACACCTTCCCCAGCTTTGGAAATAAAAGGCCTCTGAAATCATTTGTGCAAACCCACCCTTGGGGTGTAGCCTGGGAAACATGATGGAAGTGGGCGCAGGGCTTGGGGTGGGAGGGAAGGGAGCAGGGAGGTCGAGGCACTGATAGCGTGGACGCACAGAGGGCCATCTGCAGGCTGGCACCACCCGGGAGCTGTCTGCCTCGTGTAGACTTGCTGGGATGGGTTTTGTGTGGGGACAAGATGGCTGCGTGATTCACCTGCAGGATCTAGGCTGAGTGAGGATTGTGTCCCAGTTCCCTATTACCAGCTGTGTGACTTCAGAAAAGTTACTTCATCTCTCTGAACCCCAGCTCCTTCATCTGCAAAGTAGTTTTGGATAAAAACCCGAGAGGATTAGTAATTCATGTGAAAGCCGATGTATGTATGAGAGAATGAGTCCTGTATGTGAGACTCTGTCGACATCTGTCAATAAACAGCTGCTGTTCCTGTCTGGAGACCCAAAGGCATGCATGGGTGATGTGGGTAAGCCTGACTTCTGGCTAGATGGACAATTGGAGGAAAGGTTAAGGGTATTCTGCTGCATTCCAGGGTTGTGGGGAGGACCAGTGATGTGGGGAGGATCAGTAGTGTAGGGAGGACCAGAGGTGTGAGGAGGATCAGGGGTGTGAGGAGGACCAGGGGTGTGGGGAGGATCAGGGGTGTGGGGAGGACCAGTGGTGTGGGGAGGACCAGGGGTGTGAGGAGGATCAGGGGTGTGGGGAGGACCAGCGGTGTGGGGAGGACCAGTGGTGTGCCATTCTCTCTCCTTCAGGCTTTGCTTGGTTGCTCCTGTCGTTGGCATGAGAGGGCCTGACCCCAGAAGCTGGACTGCCGCCAGCACCACACACTCTCCCTTGCGCCTTCTCTGTCCTCCCTCATCAGAGCAATGTGGCCAGGAGCGATGATTCAGCCCTGACCTGTGTCCTGGGCCTTCACCTCCCTCGAGGGAAGCCCCGAATACCCTGGGTTGCTAGCAGCCGTGAGGGTAGCCTGGCATTCCTGCCCTTCTCGATAGCCCTACATGCCTCCATGAGAGGTGGCCTGGCTCTAGATTCAGCTTCATCCATGACATACTGTGTAACCTTGAACAAATGCAGCCTAGGTCTCAGTTGCTCTCTGTGTTCAGGAGTGGGGGGCATCTAGGGAGATAGTTCCATGCAGGTGAAGCCCTGAGATCCCTTCTGAGTCCTCTGTGCTCTGTAGTTCCAGACTTGAACTTAGGGCAGATATGGGCCCTGCCGTGCCACTGGTTAAGGCGGAAGTGGATTCACGTCTCCTGGGAGCCCGGCAAGGCTGACTTGTGTGGAAAGAGGAGGAATTTTCCTCTGTGTGTACAAACAGTATCCATTTTCTCTTGTTTCCAAAAGCTGGTGATGTAACCAGCCCTTCATCCAGTCCTTCCCTCTGGCCTATTTTTAGCCTGGCCCCACAGCTTCTTAAGAGATTCAGACCTCCTTGCTCAGCGACCATGTAGGGAGGGTAGCGCCGAGTGAGGAAAGACAGAAGCCTGTCTGTTTGTCCCAAGGCGGAGGAGGTCAGGCACAGGCTGCCAGCTCCTCCGGGTAGGGAGGGGATCTTAGTGAGGTGCTCAGTCTTGGAGACCGAGTCCTGGCTCCCTGTCCTTACCGAATGTTGGGAAGGGTCTGTCAGCTGTGCTTAATGGCTGTAACATGGTGAAAATGGTGGCATCCATCCCACCCACTACTGGAGGCCTGAGCTGCATCATGTAGACCTCTCTAGAGGGAAGCTGTGCTGATACCTTTGTTAGTGTCCCCCCCCCCATTGCTGCTGCCCCTCCCCATTGCATGGTTAATGTTGGGGCCCACATTACCTGCGTGCTTAGCCCCTGTCTTTTCCTCTTCGGCTTCAACCAGTGGGTGTGTGAACGAAACAATATGCACAAAGTTCTCAGGGTCTGGCATCCAAGAAACACTGGAGCAGGGAGGGCTAGACCTACCCATGGATTAGGTGTGTGCCTTTGGGCAAGATCTTTAACCGACTGAGCTAGTCTCCACATCTGTAAGGCTCTAAAACCTGCACAGGCAATGTGTGTAGCCTGTACGGTGTGCTGCAGAACACATAACCCATCTGATAATAGTGTGTAGCATGGAAACTTGCTTCCTACAGAGAAGAGCCCGAAAGCCTACAGCAGCACCTGTACAGCCCTTCACGGTTTGCATGGGATAGACCGTGGTCCTTCCCATCTGTGTCCCATAGTACCATGCTTGTGCCTCAGAGGTGGCATTTGCCACCCGCCCGGCCTTGTGAGCAGCGGCCCGCTCACTGTCCTGTTGCTCCCCTTACTCTAGGCTGAGAGGTCGTGTTTGGCAGGCAGATTTTCCCAGGCACCTTCCCTGCCCTGTGTGGATGATGAGGGTGGGAACGGGGGTTGGGGGGACTGGCAGGAGGAGGTGGTCTGACCATGTGTCCTTCTTGGTGTTGCAGATGGGAGGAAGAGCTGGCCAAGCGTATGAACCTCCAGACCATGGTGGACACACTGCAGGAGGTAAGAGTCTGCAGAGTCCCCAGCCAGAGAGGTTTGCAGGTTAGCTGTGGGGCCATGATGGCTAAAGCTGGCTGAAGAGTCCTAGTCTAGTCCCTGCCCTGATCACTCTCCGCCACCTGGGCCAAGCCTTACAGGGCAGAGGAGCTCAGGCACAGGGCTCGGGAAGTCGGGTCTTCCTGGATGCTGGGGCCAGCTGCTTCCCTCTTCTGCCTCTCAACCTCCAAGTGCCACTGGGCTAGGTGATCTTCAGGTCCCTTTGACCTTCCAACTGCAAGTTCCGCAAATTAGGACCCATGCCTTGGAGAGACCTGGGGACACATCGCCTGCCAGCCCCCAGCCCAAGCAGGCTCTGGGACAGACCTGAGGACATTCCCCTTGTTGCTTTCTCTGGCTACTCTGAATTCAGGGCTGCGCCACTCACATACTTCCCGGGAACCCTGAGCAGCACACTTGATCTTCAGCCTGTTTTCCGTTCTTCCTCTGTCACATGGGTCAAGACCAGCAACACTGTGAGACGGCAATGCAGAGTTAGCTTAATTTTTTTTTTTTTACAGCTGGCTGTGGTGGCTCACACCTATAATTACTTGGGAGGCGGAGGCAGGAGGATGAGGAATTTAAGGTCAGCCTGGGCTGCATAGTGAGTTCCAGGCAGCTTGCTTTCATGAGACCCTGATTCAACAAAACCAAACCAATTTGTTTTTAAAGTTGGACTAGAGGTGTGTCTCAGTGGCTGAGCACTTTCCCTATCTTATGCATAGCTCCAAGTTTGATCTCTATCTAGCATGGAAGAAAATATTAAAAGTTAGAATTAATTATTTTTAGAATTAGTTAAAAATTCAAATCACTTTCAGACGTTTGCAATATTTATTTTCTAAGACAGTGAGATACACAGCTCAGTTAGTAGGATGCTTGTCCAGCATGTACAAAGACCTAGGTCCCCACTCTAAACAGTGTGCGGTGCACACCCATAACCCCAGCATTTGGAAAGTAGGGCCAGGAGGATCGGTTCAAGGTTGAGCTGGGGATGTTGTCCGACACGTTTAATCCCAGCACGTGGGAGGCAGAGGCAGGCGGATCTCTGAGGCTGAGGCTAGCCTGGTCTACAGAGCAAATTTCAAGACAGCCAGGGATCCCAGAGAAACTCTTTCTTGAAAAACAGATGAACAACAGTGAAAGAAGTTTAAGGTCACCCTCAGCTGCAGAGGGAGTTTGGTCTCAGAGAAAAAGTACAGGAAAGAGACAAATGTCCCCTTTTTCTTTATAATAAAATATTTTACAACATATTCACAGTCAAATGTTGGAAAAGTCCATAAAATCACAAAAGATCAAAATTATCTGTAAAAATATCTGTTCTTCCTTCTGGTTCATCAGTTTTGTGTGACCTCCCAGATTTTTCTGTACAAACATGCCCACATCCGGTCAACACCTTCAAATGCCTGTGTTAGAACAACAGACATGAAGTTATCATTTTCAAGGCCAAAGCTGGTCGGTCATTGGCACCTGGTGGACTGGGGTTGGTTGACCTTGTGTTTTTTAAGTGCTGGGCAGCCTGCTGGCCTTAACCTACCCTTTGCTCCTGATAGCTACTCGTTTTTTCTTTGCCATAAATGACCCCCAGGAAGTTGGGAGCAGTCAGGCCAGGCTGAGGGATGCAGATGTTTAGCTTAGTAAGACACTGGACCCAGGTGTCTGCCCATCCTCTCCTCCCCCTTTAAAGCCTGCCTGTCTTCATCCGTCTGCAGGCAGCGCAAGAAGCCGAGGCCATCCAGGAGGAGATGAACGAGAAAATCGAACGGCTCAAAGCTGAGCTGGTGGTGTTCAAAGGGCTCATGAGTGACGTAAGTGGCGTGGCCGTCACCCTAGGCATCAAGACCTCCCTTTTCCCATCATGCCAAACGCTTCATTCACTCCGAGGCTCGAGCTCGGCTTATAGTTACAGTCGTGGCTGGCTGGTTTGTTCCGATGAGGGATACATCGGGGACCAGGCGCCTCCCCGCCCTCCCCACATCGCTTCCCTATGTCCGAATAGAGGCTTTAACCGCTGCTTAACCCATCGCCCTCCTCCTCCTCCTCCTCGGGCCCCTGACGTCTGTATGTGCTGCTCGACTCCCCAGCTCGCCGTGTGGCGACCTTGGTGTCTGCCGAGCACAGGCGACCAAATGGACTTGGCTGTGCCAACCCACGGGACTTCAGGCTCAGGGAGTCCACTCTCCTGTAGGGTGTCCTTGTTAGGTTGGGGGTGGCTGGTGTGTGCGTCTTCTTGGCCATCTGGGGCCCTGCTGAGTGACCGACCATGGGTGGAAACAGCTGTTAGCCGTGGAGGCCTCCTTGAGTCTCGGACCTTGAGTTTCTTGCCGTCTTCAGGCAGTGGGCAGTCTGCCAGGAGAGCCCATCCGAAGGAGAAGGAGCCTGAATGTGGTGACTCAGCCTGGCTCAGCTCCCGGCTTTCAGGGACATGGAGTTGAGTGTGGTTAGGAGAAGCGGTGGGACCCAGGTGGAGGCCACCTGTCTCCCTTCACTTGGGTGTGGAGGGGACCCCCCCCCCTCTTTCTATATGACCCCTGCTGTCACCTGTGGCAGGAACCTAGAGAGAGAGAGAGAACTACTGAGGCAGGCGTGTTATGGGGGACAGTGGGGCGTGAGGGTGGGAACAGGAGGGGATCTGTACACTTTTGTGTGTGTGTGTGCTGGGGAATTAAGCCAACGGCCATGGCCTTCTTAGGTGACGTGCTCGCTCACTGAGTGACACCCCAGCCTCGGAAGGTGCCTCTCAACAGTCTCCATGCTCTTGCTTGTCCTCTGCTCCCACTAAACCAACATTGCTGTGCCCTGCAGCCCTGAGGGGGACCAGCACACACAGCCTCACATCTTCCCTCCCCGAGTCCCCATGTCCCTCCCTTCCTCCCCTGAGCAGTGCTGACCAACCTTCCACCTCCAGGAAAGGCTCAACACTCCCCCCCCACCCCCAGGGTGCTCCCTCTTCCTCTGATGGCCTCTCCTGCTTGCTCCGTCCCTCGCTCACGTGACCCCTGCTGTCCTCCCTGCAGCCCATGACAGACCTGGACACAAAGATCCAAGAAAAGGCTATGAAGGTGGACATGGACATCTGCCGCCGGATCGATATCACGGCTAAGCTGTGCGATGTCGCACAGCAGCGGAACTCGGAAGACGTGTCCAAGATCTTCCAGGTGACCAGGGCCGGCCCCTCTCACCAGTCCCCACCCCAACCTCTTAGAGCAGCCCTGACCTCCACCACAACCTGTCGACGCCTCTTTCCCCCCACATTTCGCTCAGCTCACCTCATCCTGAGGTAGTCAGTCACCTGACCCTCTGACCTCCCTTAGGGAGACACAAACTTGGGGATTTGTAGTTTACAGCTGAGGAGACTGAGGCCTTGGGGGATGATAGGATGTACCAAGAAAGGACATGGTAGAGCGGGCTGGAACCCAGATCTCCTGGCTCTCCAGGCCATTTCCTCATGCTTACCCTGTGCCCACCATTTCTCACGTAGCCTCTTTCTCTGAGACTCCGCATTGTTCCCGTGGTGAGGGGGCCTGGCCAGGAGATGGGGAGCCCTGACAACTGGCCCTCAGGGGTCCCAAGAGAAACACTGGATTTTGCCTAGTTCTCATTCTCCCAAAGGGTTCTGTACATGCACCCCCCCTCCCCTGGTTTCCCATGCAAGAGAGAAGGCGGTCGGTCGGTCGGTCGGTCGGCACTAACGGGCAGTTTTGGAGAGGGCCTGGGTGTGGTCCTGCTGACAGAGGGCACGCGTCATTCTCAGCAGTTTTGGGTCATAGTTTGGCTTGTGCTTGAGCCCAGGGCAGAGCAGTGTGTTGTTGCTTTCCGTGTGCGGCTCTGGACATGGTTGAGAGAGGTCGGCTCCTCCCCGTCCTTTCTCCATCTCACGCCTTCTTGCTGCCTCCTGAGGGCCTGATCCCTGCAGGGAGCTGTGCAGTCCTTTGCTCGGGTCTTGTCTGCTTGGTGAACCCTCCGTGCCTCTGCATGGGAGAGGAAGGTTCTGAAAGCATGCAGCTATTTTGAGCTTTGTCAGGGTTTCTTGGTTTCTCTGGCTGGCTTTGAGACATCCCAGGTGATGGTACCCCGGTCTGGCCTACCATTGTTCCAAATCACGGGGCTGCTTTTCTGGTGATGGGCGAGCTGAGCTGGCCCATCACTAGGCCTCCCCGGGCAGGACTTGGTCCCTGTGTCTCCATTCTCCACCCTGCATGCCTCGTGCCTCACGCTTCCTGCTAACGCTGCCCTGCTTCTTAGAACATCTACGCAGCTCCCTGCAGTGGTGGCTGGTCCCGGCCATGCTCCATCCACTCCTGGGGACACTGGTTCCCTTCCAGGCTCACCTCTGCTCTCCACCCCAGCCAAGCACCCCAGTTACCTTGCTCTCTTCCTTCCCTGTCCAGGTGGTCCCTAAGAAGAAAGATCGTAAGGTGGCTTCAGATGATGACATCTCCGAGCAGGATGGGGAGGTGAATCGGTTCTCAGATGAGGAGGTCGGCTCCATGAACATCACGGATGAGATGAAGCGCATGTTTAACCAGCTGTGAGTGCCTAGATTACCCAGCCAGGGGATGTATCAGTGGCTGGCTGAGAAGAGCCCCAGATGTGATGTGTTTTGGAAGGGTTTGGATTCTGTGTGTGTGTGTGTATATGATTATGTGTGTGCAAGTGTGGGTGCATGAAAGCCAGTGATTAATCTTGGGTGTCGTGTGTGTGTGTGTGTGTGTGTGTGTGTGTGTGTGTGTGTGTGCGCGCGCGCGAGCGTGCATGTGTTCTGTCTATGTGCAGGCTCAGTGATGTCACATTGGTAGCTTAGACTTTGTCATTACAAGAAATTGACACATGCCACCATTCAGGACTCCCTTACCAAACCCTAGATCTGGTGCACCAGAACCCATTGAATATATTGTCCTGGGGCTGGGGTAGCACTGTGGCCTTGGCTTATTTGGTGCTTTGTTCTGAAACTCGATCCAGTTTTAACTCTAATCCATACGGTACCCCAAGGTGGGATTGGAAGAGGACGCTGGGTGAGTCAAGGGCGGGGCTGGGAGCCCCATGCTCTCAGGCACCTGCGCTCTGCCATAGCGGGCACCATCCAAAGCTCAGGCCACCAGCTCTTTGAGCTCCCCAAGGGGGAAGCACTTCAGGAGCACACAGTAGGGCAGGGCCAAGCCCGCCTACATGGTTCAGTGCTGTTCCCTTAGCCACCTTCCTGCTTGGAAGAGACGCCCGTCTACTGTCTGCTGCGTCACTGTCCCTGACTGGTCCCTCTTTGACTTAGCTAGGTACTCAGAGAGGACGGGCAGGGTGGAGTTGGGAGTTCCTCACCTGATACCTGACACCTCCCTTCAAACAGAACCGAGATGAGGCTAGACATTTGCTATTGACAGTACCAAGGACACCCCTCAACTCTTGGTTCATCTCTCAACTCGAGTCTCCTCCAGATACGTGCTCTCACCTCCTGACAAGAGGGTGTCCCCCAACTCCCACCTTTTTTGGTTTTGGTTTTAAGATGCGGGCTCATGTAGCCCAGGCTAGCCTCAAGTTTTCTATGTAGTCTAGAATGACCTTGAACTTCTGATCTCCCTGCCTCCATGAATACCAGGACCCATGCCTGGTTTCTGCGGTGCTGGAGACCAAAACCAGGCCCTCCCATGCATGATAGGCAAGCGCCCTCAATGGAGCTGCATCTCTAGGCTTGGGAAAAGAAATGTGGCTTGGGTCTGGGTTTTCCCAAGGTTACTCTGGGAATTCCTGAGCCTAAGACACTCTTAGATGCTCAGACACCCCAAATCGCCTTCATTTTGTTGAATAATTTCTTCTCCTCAGAAGAAATCAATTACCTGAAGTATTTCATGAAGTCCCTAGGGAATCGTCAAGTTGGTCAGAAATGAGGTGCAGTGCGGAGGTACCCATCCAGAGAGCTGAACTGGGGGTGCCTTTGGCAAGGGCTGCTTGTGTGTAGAAATTGCCTTCAGCTGTGAGCAATGGAGACGAGATCCCCCGTGTGGTGGACACTGCAGTGTTGACAGGTTCAGTGTCTAATTAGATTGGTCTGGCTTTAAAGTCGTCTAAGTTAAGAAAAGAACTCTGATCTCTCTCTAGCCCTCTCCTGTTGCTCTGGCTGGTGTTAATGACCGATGCAGTAGCGTCTCCTTCCCACCCGATAGCTCCTTGAGCCCACGATCCAGCCCCAGCCAGTCCCAGTGAGGCTTCTGAATGACGCACCCGGGTCAGAACCTTGTTTGTTTTGATCCAAATCAGTGGCTTGGGCTTCAGACCAAGGCTGAGAGGAATTTCAGCCGCCTTCCAAAGTCCCTGGGAGGGGTGGGGGCTCTTTCCGTCTCTGCTCTCATCCATCTTCCTGTCTGTTCTGGGGAGCCATCCCTCAGCGGGGCTTTCCTTCAGACCTCAGACGCTGGAAAGGAAGTGAAGTCAGTAGTGGACTATGTGATGTACTAATGGGTGGACCCCAGGGGCTCAGAATCGCCTCCTTCTCCAATAGCCAACCCCAAGCTTATTTCCTGACTCACGGGCGCCACCTACAGGCTCCTACAAGAATTGCTTTGGGGCAAGGGAACCAGCCTGGCCTACCTCTAGGGGGCGCTGTAGGAAGTTTTTTTTAATCAGAATTCCCTCTGTGTCGCTGCCGGTTGGCCCCCAACTAATAACTTTGATGAATGATGTAGAGCAGAGCTCTAGAAGAGTCAGGAGAGAATGGAGAAAGGGGAAGCATGGACACTGGGAGAGCCCGGAATGGAAGTCTGCAGACCCTCCTGTGCCACTGTAAGCGCAGCCGGACATGGCGGCACAAGCCTGGAATCCCAGGATTTGTTTGTTTGTTTGTTTGCTTTCTTTTGAGACAGGGTCGCTCTATGTATCCCTGACTGGGCTAGAACCTGCTGCATAGACTAGGCTGGCCTTGAACTCCTGAAGATCCTTCTTCCTCTGCCTCCTAAGTGCTAGGATTAAAGTGCCCCTGCTACACACTATCGGTGGCTTTGAACAAATGCGGTTCCTTCTTAGCCCCTCATCTGCAAAATGTGAGGAGTATGGTTGGATTTGCATGCTCAACATGGGGTGGGAGCAACCACTCTTTTGACCAGAAGCATGTCTAAAGGAGTGGGGGGGAGGAGGAGGAGGAGGAGGAGGAGAGATTGATTGATTGATTGATTGATTGATTGATTCTGAGGAGATTTAAAAACATATTTGATTTCTTTATGTGTGTCTTGCCTGGGCATCCTGAACATGTAGTGCCTGTAGAGTCCAGAAGAGGGTATCAGGCAGGGCCCCTGGAACCAGTGTCAACAGTCAGTTTTAAGCCGCCATGTGGGCACTGGGGACTGATTTCCAGTCTTCTGCAAGAGCAATGTTTTCACTACCTAGTCATTTCGCTAGCCTTGGGGGCCGGGGTGTGTGTGTGGGTGACACAAGGTTATATACCATAGCTCAAGCTGATACGAACTCACGTGTAGCCTGGGCTGGCCTTGAATTTGACCCTCCTGCTTCGTCCTCCCAAATTCTGGGATTATAGACACGCACCACACTACTTTTGACCTAAAACCAGACTTCTAATTGTACAGAAACGTTCTGTATTTTGAAAGGCTAAAGCTCTTTTTGCATAAGACAATTGGCTTTGGCTGCCACCCCCTCCTTTTTGAGACCCACCTCATGGGCACACATTCACCAGGGAAGGTGCTGCGTTCTGTCCTCTGTACACACACCCATGACTGGCTTCCATTCAGTCATGCCTTCTGATGTCACCCATAGGCGGGAGACCTTTGATTTCGATGACGACTGTGACAGTCTGACTTGGGAAGAGAATGAAGACACGCTGCTGCTATGGGAGGATTTTACCAACTGTAACCCGACCATTGACCTGCAGGGCGAGGTGAGCCCAAGACCCACCTTCTGGGGGGGGGCGCCTCTTTCCCATGAGCCCCCAGTTTTTGCCCTTTTCATGCAGCCTGCTCCCCAGCTAAACTGTCCCCTCTGTCTCCCCAGCAAGAAGAAAACTTGGGCAACTTGATCCATGAGACTGAGTCCTTCTTCAAGACGAGAGACAAGGAGTACCAGGAGACGATAGGGCAGATCGAGGTAAGAGCTCGGGCCATGGAGCCTGCAACCGAGTCTCCTGGGGGCCGCATAGTTGAGATCCTGGGTGATCAAGTGTCCGTGGAAATGCAGGCTTACAAAATGGCACAAGCAAGGGGTCAGGAGTCAGGAGCCTGGCATTGCAAGCTTGTCCTTATTAGGGTATTGGTTTCCTAATCTGTGAAGTCTGGCAGTGATTCCTGCCTCCCCTAAAGAGGCTGAGGCAGGAGAGTGCCCATAACAGGTTTAGCCAACACCTAGCATCATTTGGCATCACTCGGAAGTCAGCTCTGGTTGTTCCGGGTTATCCTCACCTCCTCCTTGGCTGTAGGGACTGGGTGCCCATACAGTGGAAGAATAATGTCCAAAGAGGCCAAGTCACTTTCCCACTGTTTCCAAGTCAGGAAGCAATATTCGGGCCAGTGTGCTATACAAGAGTTAGTGCTCTTTCTGTTGGAGAAGGAGAAGCCTCGAGTCCTCCTCCCTCCTCCCTGGAGGAGCAGGTGTAACAGTACAGGAGAAGGCTCAGAAACATGAAGGGCTTTCTGTTCCTGCCCATAGCCAGAGATGCTGAGTACAGGGAAGTCCCCTGAATCAGTGGGGGCTGAGCCGGACAGACTGACTCTGGGGTTGCTAAGCAACCATTCCCCCTTTGACTGAAGCATGTCTAAAGAATATTGATCCATGTGCAGAGGATAAGGAAGGGTGATACCCACAAGGCAGAGCCTTGAGAGCACAGTGTCCAGGGGTGGCTTGGCTGGCGCCAGGGGTGGCCTGGGTGGAGGAGGGTGGTTGCTGCTGCTGGTAACGTGAGGTTCAAAGGTCCCCCTCACCACCTTTGTTCCGCATTGACTCCTTCCAGCTGGAGCTGGCCACAGCCAAGAGCGACATGAACCGACATCTGCATGAGTATATGGAGATGTGCAGCATGAAGCGAGGCCTGGACGTGCAGATGGAGACCTGCCGTCGGCTCATCAAAGGCTCTGCAGACAGGTGCGGCCCCTGCTCCTCTAGGCTTCCGTGGTGGGGGCCTTAGACATTCTGGGGCTGCATCATGCCCCTTCACTACATTTTCACTTCCTGACCATTTGTCTATTCTTCCTTCCATCCATGCATCCATCCATCCATTTATCCATCCACCCACCCATCCATCCATCCACCCATCCACCCATCCATCCATCTATCCATCCATCCATCCACCTAAGCCCTCAGTATAAGCATTCCACTCGGTGCTAGGTGATTTACGTACCTAATCTCACAGAGCTGTTAAAAACAAATCAAATAAACAACAACAACAACAAAAAGCATTGGCTCAACAGATAGTTGTCAAAGGCACCCTGTGTGCAAGACCATCTGAGTTAGCTTATTGCTGTGATAAAACAGTATGCCCAAAAGCAAATTGGGGAGGAAAGGGTTTCACTTCCACATCACAGTCCACTGTTGAGGGAAGTCAGGGTAGGAACCTGGGATCAGGAACTGAGGCAAAGGCCACGGAGTGACGCTGTTCCCTGGCTTGTTCAGCCTGCCTTTGTATTCCATCCACCTGCCCAGGGTTGGCATCACCCCCCACCCCCCACCCCCAGTGCGCTGTTCTCTCTCTCACATCATTCATTAATTAAGAAAATGAAACGCCCCCATAGACTTGCCTACAGGTCAATCTGGTGGAGCCATTTTCTGAACAGGTCCCCTCTTCCCAGATGACTTTGGCTTGTGTCAAGGTGCCAAAAAAAAAAACTACCCAGCACAGGGTCTGATGACTGGAAAGCCAGAGCGGGCAGGGCACACCTCACTGCTGCTGACTAGGCTCCCATTGTGTCCTTCCCCTTTCTCATCTTCCAACTCTGCCCCCAACGGGTCTGTACGCATCAGGTGTGGAATGCAGAGGCCGACCCCCCTCAGGATCTGCAACCCTGTTGGGGGGACAGACACAGGATGGGAACGCTTGGCCCAAAGCTCAGCTTCCTTTGCTGCTGTCACTGTGTATGAGGGAGCAGTGGCTGTAAGGGAAGCGTAGTGGGTAGCAGAGGTCGGCTTCACCTGTCCAGCCTTTAGCTCATGGAATCCTCTAGAACCCACTGTTATAGGCAAGTGGAACTGCTTGCCAGAGACCGCCTTGGGCAGACTGAAACCCGGGGCTGTTTCCTCCAGTGTGTGTAGTCTCTGTATGTGTAGATCCTGTTTGGTTCTTGTTTGGTTTTGCCAGGGGTGGAACCTAGGGCCATGTGCACACTAGACAGTGATCCGCTCACCCAGCCCCCTAGGGTGTGTTTTTACAGGTGTGACTGCCCCGAGTTCCTGGGATGTCAGGGGACCCCAGCTGCTCACTGAAAGTCTCCTCCTTCCATGCTTTTCAGGAATTCACCGTCCCCCAGCTCTGTGGCCAGCAGCGACTCAGGAAGTACAGATGAGATCCAGGATGACCTGGAGCGGGAGGCAGATGTGGAGCCCATGGTCAGCTGATAATGGAGGCCCTGGGCAACTGGTGGTCTTGGTGGTGAGGCCCAGGCTCCTCTCCTCGCTGAGCCACACAGACTGCTGTCCTTCCTCCTCTGGAGGCCCAGCGGGACCGCTGCTTCCTTCCTTCCTCCACCGCCCACCACTCGCCCACGGAATGGTGCTGTCGATTTTCTACCGTCCTCCACATCACAAATGCAGACTTGTGTGCGACGATGCAACTGTGCCTTCTTCTCCCTTACGCTGAGCCACTTTGAGCTCCAAAGAATTCTTCCTAGCAGGTGTTTTTTATACAAAACTCTAAGGCGAGGGTGGGGCCTGGGTGTGGTATCTCTTGGTTTTGTCCCTCCCTCCTGCTCCTCTGATTGACCGTGAGCTTTGCCCTCCCTCCCTCTGTCCTGGCCCTGACTGGATTCAAGTCGGTGGCCACTTGGGGGGAATCTGCCTTCCAGAGGAAGGGGGCCATTTACTCCAGACCTGGGTGAGGAGGACTCCTTAGTTCTTTCTCACCCACTGAAGGAGAGAGAGGCCGATGGAATGCCTGCCTGCCGGGAGGGGAGACCAATGTTTTTCTTTTTCTTTTGGCTCTAGTGGTGATGTGTTGGGGGCAAGGCACTGTGGGGGAAGGTAGAGCCTCACTGTTTAAACTATGCAAAAAAACAAAAACAAAAAAGCAGCTTGCCTTATATCAGTGGGGGAAGGCAGGCCCTCTCTCAGACTCCTGGGAACTGGGAGGGAGGCCAAGGTTAGCATGAAGCCCTCATAGCCTCTGAGGGTGAGCGGTGGATTTGGGGGTGGTTCCATTCAGACCTCTGGTGAGGCCTGCATTCTGTCAGCTGGCCCACTGGACTGTTGGCTTTCTTGGGGACCTCTGTGGGGTGGGGTGGGTGGGGTGGTGGTCTTTTATTGTCCTGGTGACTTGATGTTCTTTCCCGTCTCTCCAGCCACCTGCCGGGCTCCACAGTTGTAATTTCTCTGTGAGAAAGTATGAACGGGCCAGGCCGCTGGTACCCACTCCGTCCGCCATGGCGCCATCTTGGTCTTCCTTTGTCCCTCTGGCTGGAAGAAAGCCTTGTGAGGGAAGGGGAGGGAGGTGGTGAGGCTCCTGGCAGGCTGGTGGTAGCCGGAGTAGCACCCGCAAGTGAGGACCATCCTCATTCTTGTTTCTAGGCTTTTCCATACTCGCTTGGCTGGACTCTTGGGGAGTCACTCTGAGCCAGTGTTTCCCCAAAGCTCCAAGGGGCCTGAGTTAAGGGATCATAAGATAGACCATCCATCTAGTCTCAGATGGGAACTCACCTAGCAATCAGGTTTAATTTTTATTTTATTTGTTCTTATTTTTGTGTCCACTCTAGTGGTTTTGATGGCCTGTGTTGTTTTTGTTGACCCAGGAGCTCCCTCTGGAGGTCAAAGGAACAAAATGTACCCAGGGACCAGAACCCATGGCCCTCTGAGGCCTGTGTGTTGAAGGGCAGGGGACTCTGGGCTGGAGCCGTGGTGGTACCCCGATTCTCCTCTGCATCTTTGTGTCCTCTCTGTGAGTGGCCCCATCTGTTTGGCATTTAGAACCAGTGTATATAATAGGCAATGTATGTATAGAGAAGAGAGAGGATGTATCTGTTGGCGACTTCTTAACGTAATTTATCAGAATTTGGTGGCCTTTCCCATGTGTGTTTTCCATGATGGGGGGTGGGGTGCATCCCACTGGTCTCTGTGCAGCCTGGCTGCAAGGATTCACTTATCATCTCTGGATGGCCCAACAGTCCCTTCTGGCAGGTACTTGGAGGGACGACACAGCCCCTCCCCTCCCCCTTCTCACCGATCCTTCTTTCAAAGGTTACAGGGTTCATATGCTTCTGGTTATTACTATTGTGTTATTGATATTTTGTTTTTATTTTAACCAAAGGGAATCAGAACCAGATGGGTCTGGACCTTAGCTGCTGTAAAGATTTCCGTTTCCATGAGGGCAGGAAGATGGCTGCCCCCATAGGTCTCCTCGGCTGAGGCTGGGGAGAGCCTGGCAGGCAGAGTAGAAGCTGGCCCTTAGATGTTCTCCAGGGTGGTGGTGTGGTGACACATATCTCTAGAGTTAAGACAGTAAGTTACAGTATCAACGTTTGGGGTGACGAAGGTAACCCTGGAAGTTGGTGTCCTGTGTTGTTATTTTTGTTTTCCCAACTGTATACATAGGTCATTTGTCTAGGACGTATGAGAAAGGCAGGCTCCAGCATGTTCCTTCCTGCTGGCTTTCGAAGTCTGCTTTCCCCTGGGGACTGAGGTTCCGAGGCAGGAGGATGATGGGAGAAGAGCCAGGGAATGGTGGTCATGCCTCCTGGGCTGGTTCTGGGGTCTGGGCCTGGCCTCCTCTCTCTCTCTCCTCTCTCTCTCTTTCAGTTCGTTGCCAGTGGGCCCTGCTTGTCCCCTCACTGTGAGCCCACAGCTTGCCAAGAAAGACCCCACCGCTCACTGGGGGCAGCGCCTGCGCAGTCTGGGCAAACGCGTCCACCCTTGTAAACATGTACATACTTCCTTTTGAGTTTTCTATTTCTGAGCCTGGTGTCATATTGACACTGGGGTTTCAGGGCTTCTCAGATGGGCTCTCCGGCTGGCCCTTGATCACGCTCCTCGTTTGGGGGCCACATACACAGGCACAGCAGGGAGACAGCAGCATCCTTTCGGGTCCCTGGTTGATCGTGAAACACACACACACACACACACACACACACACACACACACCCCTCACACTCCTCCAAATGAGAACGACTGGGAAGAAGTTTTGTCTCCCTGTGGCCGTGTGTCTGGAAGGCCTGTCCACCGTGGACTCTGCTCTGGGGGTGGAGCTCAGATGACCTATGGAGAGTCAAACCACTTTGACTTTGGGGCGGGAGGAGAGGGGGGTGGGCTAAGGGATCAGGTAAGGTGTAACTTAAGCTAAATGTATTCTATTTATAAAGCAAGAGACTCTATTTTTATGAAAGGAAAAGGTTTTTAATCTAGGGTAGGCAGTCGTGGTGGCCCAGCACTTTGCTGTGGATGAGATGCCACCATGCTCTTTGGCTCGGGGTGTGTAATTGTCACCCTGCCTTCTGTCTTCGCTGTACACAGCGGGGGCAGAAGTGGCTTCTTTCTTTCCTCAGCCCTCAGCTCCTTGGAAGTCTTGAAAGAGAGCTGGGAGTGGGGGGCCACGGGTGGGGGTGGGGCCAGGCAAGTGAACTGCAGGAAACTGAGGTGGGGGAGGGGTGCTTCCGAGGTAGGTTCTGGTTCGTTTCCCCAGCTCCCCTCTGCTCCCACTCAGCTGGGGGTGGGGTGGGGTCAGAGCTGGGAAGCCCCGTGGGCTTGGGGAACACAGGACTTCTTCAGGGCCTGGGGCTTACGGTGTCTGGGGTTGTCAGGCAGCTGAAGTAGGCACAGAAGGACCCAAGATGCTGAGCGCTCAGCCCTGGCTGTGTCTACTCCAGGCCAAGGTCGAGCTTGTGTCTTTGTTCCCTGGACGAAGGAGCCGGGCTCTGGAGGATTGCCTCCGACCTGGGTCCTCCCTCTGGGACCCCCAGCTAGGCTTTGGAAGGGTAACCACCCGCAGGGAGCGATGGGGAGGGGTCTGAGCAAAGCCATACACTGTCTCTGGGAGGGGATTTTCCATGTGTGAAGATTTCCAGGCTCAGTGTGGGCTGTGTGTGAGCCTTAGGTGAACCCCTCGCCTTTCCCGCCCCACCCCCAAGCTCTCAAAGAAATGGGGTGAACTCCCCACAATGACCCCTTTATGCACATTGTAGCATCTACCTGGTTTTTAGCCCCACCCTATCCCACGGTTGCTGTGTCTGTCAGCTGGGTCTGAAAATCAATCCCCGGGAGGGGTTTGTACTCACTAAAAGACTACTGACCCTACCATAAAGCCAACCTGTTTACTGTACTGTTGTAAATACCGTGCCCTTTATATCCTGTATATCAGCTTCTTTTGAATAAAGTAAAATGTCTTAGAACAGACGGTGTGTGCTTCTTTTTGTCATGGTGATTGTGGGAGGGGTCAGAAGACTAAAGCAAACACATTAACCAATGAGTGATAAGATACGGAGCTCACACACTACCTGTTTGCATCTCACAGTAAGATCTTCCAGAAGGAGATAGAGGTCCCAGGCTAATTGGCACTGTCCCGTCTGAAGCTGAGGCCCCACCAGCTACAAAGTCCCCATTTCACAAACTTCCCCAGAGCATCTTCAAGAAGCACCAGCTGGGCTCTGGATTTGATACTATCCACTGTTTTTAGTTACTTTTATTTAATGGCTCTGGGTTTGATACTGTCCACTGTTCTAGTTACTTTTATTTAATGGCTCTGGGTTTGGTACTGTTCACTGTTCTAGTTACTTTTATTTAATGGCTCTGGGTTTGATACCGTCCACTGTTCTAGTTACTTTTGTTTAATGGCCATGTTCAAAAGTGACACCCCTCCACTGAGAACTGTCTTTTCGGGGTGAAGAGACACTGCTCCTTGCTCACATTTATGTAGTGCTCTTTTCCTACTCAATGTTCTTGGCTCAGATCTCCCAGCGCATCTCAAATGATGGAACTGGGAGGAAAAGGAGAAGTCCAAGGTGACAGGGCTGTTTGAGGTGGCCCTTATCCTATTCCACAGAAGAGGAAACTGAGGCCCAGAGGGGCTACACTGGATGTCACCTTGACACAAACAAGAGGCATCTGAGAGGAGGGAGCCAAAATTGAGTAAATGCCTCCAAAAGATCAGGCTGTGGGCAAGCCTGTAGGGTGTTTTCTCAATTGAAGTGTAAGGTCCAGCCCATTGTGGGTAGTGCCACCCCTGGGCTGGTGGTCCTGGGTTCTATAAGAAAGCAGGCTGAGCAAGCCAGTAAGCAGCACCCCTCCATGGCCTCTGCATCAGCTCCTGCCTCCAGGATTGTACTCTGACTTCCTTCAATGATGAACTGCAATGTGGAAGTATAATCCAAACAAACCCTTTTCTCCCCAACTTGCTTTTGGTCATGGTGTTTCATCACAGCAATAGTAACTCTAACTAAGACAGAGGCTAATTTGCCCAGTGTGATATCAAAATAGAATTGGATAGAAGTGACCTTACAGTAAATGCCCTGGTCACACTGCCAGAGACATAGAAACTCGTTATTAGAATAAGGAAAACATAGGCTGGAGAGATGGCTCAGAGTTTAACAACACTGGCTGTTCTTCCAGAGGTCCTGAGTTCAATTCCCAGCACCCACATGGTGGCTCACTACCAACTGTTATGAGATCTGGCTCCCTCTCATTACCATCTGTAATGAGATCTGGCGCCCTCTTCTGGCCTGTGGAGATACATGAAAACAGAACATTGTATACATAATAAATAAATCTTAAACAAAAGAAAGAAAACACATATTGGTATCTTGGGAATATAGTAGTTCCCTCAGGCATTATCCTAACAGAGGGCTTCAGAAGCAGTTTTTTTGGGGTGGGGTGGGGGTGGTTTGAGACAGGGGTTCTCTGTGTAGCCCCGGCTGTCCTGGAACTAGCTCTGTAGACCAGGCTGGCCTTGAATATACAGAGATCTGGCTGCCTCTGCCTCCTAAGTGCTGGGATTACAGGTGTGTGCCACCACCGCCTGGCTCAGAAGCAGTTTTAATATATTCGAATATTCATCAAACAACTTCTCATGCAGAAAACTGATAATTTTTTCCAGGTGGGCAGAGGGACACAGAGAGAAAAAACTGTTTTTTGTGGCTAGAGGCTTTGGGAAAAGGGAAGAAAGAAAAAGAAAAGGAGGAAAGGAAAGGAGAGAGGGAGGGAGAGAGAGAGAGAGAGAGAGAGAGAGAGAGAGAGAGAGAAACACTAAGCACAGGCCCGCTATGGTTTTATCTCATAATGATCCCAGTCTGGAAGGAAGCAGGCAGGCAGCTGGCTGGCCCTGCGCCAGGCTGGGAGGCGGAGGGCAGATCAGGCTCCATGCAGGGCGGCAGCCCCCAGGGTGGCGACGAGGAGCTGGCTTTAGTATGGCCCCGCGGGCTCCAGCAGAGTGGTGGCCCGCAGGTGGCCAGCCTTCCAGCAGCAAAGGATGGGACCCCTGCTGCACCTGTCCCAAGGACCTGGTCCCATCTACCACTGAGCACGTGCTCCGTGCAGGATCTGTCATTGGCTCCTGCAACTCTCCAGCCCGACCTAAGAAGTATGCAACTTGCCGGTCCAGCTGATTGGCTCGGAGGCTTTCACGTGTGACTGTGATTGGTCGATGAGGCTCACGCCCTCTCTCCTTGGGTCATACCATAAGGAGAGGAAGAGAGGAGAAAAGAGCATCTATTTCAGGGCATTTCTGCCGGGTTCCCCTGCCTCGCAGTCCACAGTGGCCTTTAGAACACTAAGTAAGACTGCTGTTTATTGACAGGAGGGGGTACCCGCAGAGAGACCCCGAGGCAATTGGACCGGGTGATACTGAGCCTCCCGCAGAGGTGGTGCACTCCGGGTTTGACTAGTCCAAGCTTGCAGGGCGGACTCGGAGCTTTCAACAGGCTCACGGGATCCTCAGACCTTACTCGATGCTCTTCCTGCCCACCCTGCGCCGAGCCATGCTTTCCCACTTCTGGAGGAGCGCTGGGTGAGTGAACCCCTTGCTGCCGGAGCCCTTAGAGCGGCGGGCGACTCCCTCCCTGCGTGTGCTCCGGGCTGCAGCCACCCTGGGAAAGCCACCCTCTCCCAGGTCCCCAAGTTTCCCTTAAACTCGAGGGTCGCGTCCTGCACAGCCACTCTCCCGTGGAGACTCTGCGTCCCTTCCTTAGCCTTCCTGGGTCTCCCTAGATGGTCACTTTTACTTAGCCAAGGACTCCGCGCCCCCAGATGACTCCTGCGGTCCGTTGTGGTGCCCAGACTATGTCCACGCCCCCTTCCTACCTCCTCTTCCTCCTAATGATGGATATTTCAAATTTGTTGATTCTCCCAGTCCTGGGACGTCCCTGAGTTCAGGTTCTGGAGCCCCCTGATGCTCCCGGGGGCCGCTCTGTCCCACTCTCTTTTCAGTTTAATATTGGGCTTTTGTTTTTCGGTGGGTGCCGTAATGACTTTTATAGTGTGTGATGCTGGTTGGGTTCTGAGTGGCTTATGGCTTATTTTGAGATTTGAATAAATTCATTAAGTTCCTGCTGGGCGGTGGTGGCGCACACCTTTAATTCTAGCACTGGGGAGACAGAGGCAGGTGAATCTCTGAGTTCGAGGCCAGCCTGGTCTACAAATCGAGTTTCCAGGACTACACAGAGAAACCCTGTCTCGAAAAACAGAAACAACAACAACAACAAAGGTGTTTGGTTAGCCCTTAGGAGGCAGAGGCGGACTGATCTCTGAGGGTTGAAGGCCTGGTCAATTTGGTTTATGTAGCCAGGGCTACAGCTGTCTCTAGAACAGGTGTCTGGTTATTACCACTGTCAGGACTGCCACTTTAGGTCAGACTTCTCATGAGGTGTAGAAGTAATGAAGTCATTAGAAGAAATGAGAAAACTGACAGGTTCCAGGGCAGAGCTGCTCTTCAGATCCGCACACTGCCGTTCAGCCAGAACCTCAGTGCCCTCCGTGACCTGTTGCAAGATCCTACCCCCATTGGGGCTCTCAGCCTGTTGGGCTTGGGGGTTGTGTTTCTGTCTCCCTTTTACACTGACACAGCACCCGCCCACCCCGACCTTAGTTCCTATTTGCTGCTCTGTGGCCTGTGACTCACTGTGTCTTCCTCCACTGAATTGTGACCTCTCTGAGTTAATCGGTGACCCTTTCCCTAGCCCCTGTGAGATGATAGGGGTGAGTTTCAGCTCTTCTGTACGTCCTGGTGGGGAGTTGGCAGGAAGAGGACATGGGATTGGAGTGTGTGGAGACTCCAGTCCCTCGACATCTTCTGCATTGAGACCACAAAGACCCTCTGATCGCCCATAGGAAGCAGTCCATGTTATGAAATGGTTCCAGACAGCGGTATCATTTAGCAAGCTAACAAGTAGGATGGACCCCACGCTGAGCCGAGGAGCTTGTTCTGTCCCCATGTGCAGCCAGGGACTCTCTGCCTGTTCAGGCAGATGTAACTGGAGTAACAGTTGGTCTGGAGCCAGATCCCCGCTCTTCAGCGCGAGGCCTCTTGAGCGGGTGGGAAGAGGATTTTGCAACCAGTTCTCCGGCTCCCGCTGCCTGCTTTTACAGTGCGGCTGGCCTGGCGGGATGCCCAGATGGGTTTCTCCACATCAGCAGCGTTTATTCACTCACCTTTGGGGCAGGTACTCGGGGGCTGCTCTGCCCTGCAGAATGCTTAGGAGCACTTCCAGCCCGTGCCTCTGGTGCCGGTGGGGTGGCTTCTTCAGTCACGACAGGAACAATCTTCGGAGGTTTTCTTGTTGTCACTGGTTGAGAGACATAATCCTAGGACAGCTGTGAAAACGCTGCTCAAGGTGGCTGTTTGAAAGCCTTAGGCTGTTTCTCTGTAACCGTAAAATGCAATGCTGAGATTGGTTCACCTTTAAATTCCTCTGTCTGGGTCTGAATTTCTATATGAACTGTTTTAACAAGTTCTTCTAAAGCTTTCACCTTGGTAGTCACATTAACCAACTTTTTAAATGATAAATGATCAAACAATATTTATAATTGACATTACATAAACCCCATCTACATTAATTATCCTCTCATTTAATTGTTCCATTTTCAGACTGTCAGTTGTATTATCAAACAGAGACCAAATTCTCTCAATTGTCTAAATGTTTCCCATTTTTTTAATGTGGGAAAAGACTTTCTTTTAACTAATTCCTCCCTTTATGAAATCTGCCTCCCGAGTGATAGGATAAGGGTGTGTGCCACCACTGTCTGGCCTCTGTGTCTAATCTAGGGCCTGGCTCTGTCCTCTGATCCTCAAGGCAAGCTTTATTAGAGTACACAACATATCACCACACCTGAGTCCCATCCCCAGGGAGGCGTTGTGTACACGTGTGCACATCCACAGATGCAAATTTACATGTAGATATGTACCT